GATGATGATGATGATGATGATGATGATGATGATGATGATGATGATGATGATGATAAATCAGTAATAATGTGGCAATTGGGAGCTAGGCTTCCTTTCAGTTGGGTAGTCCATTCTCTAATAAAGTTAGCATAGTATAGAAAGGTTTTAACTCTTTTTTGTTAAATATAGATAGGCTACATTTAAGAGCAATGTGTCTGTACATGAAATCATTAATCAGTTCTTCTGATGGATGCCTTTTAAACTTCATTGTTTCAAACATCATGTAGGACTGAGGTACAATGCCAGCAATGATGAGATCTCCTGAATGGTAATATTTATGCTTAATAAGATGAAGCTTGCCCACAGAACATGCTGTGCTTTTAGCAGAAATATGGCAAACAATGTCTGTCAATAGTACTGTCATCATTGCCAGGAACAGTAACATCTTTTGAAAAGTAAATATACACCACATACCAATTCCTTCTGCACAAACTAAGCAAAAGAACTCATTGATTCGAATAGCCTGCATATATTCTTGTTCTCCTGCTTGATTAGAAGCTAGAATGTTCAGTGTGATGAATCAGATTGCTACAGCTTCATCACCCTACTCCCAACCATGAATGGAGCAATGGAGTTCCATTTAATCTTAGTTCATTGTTTTGTTATGTTCCATAGAACTACTCAGGGATTTGAGAAAATGTTCAAGTAATATGCACTCTTGATAGCGATAGGAAAATAAACAAGACACTAAGTGACATGGTCAGAAACTAAGTAGAAAATGAATTGATTGTATCTATGAAATAGCAAGAAAAACTTAAACCTACAGTCATAAACAGAATACAAACAAAATTCAGTTATGCAGTTCTATGCTTGTAAGCATGGAATATCACTGGGGATAAGATCTAAATGGGGCTGAGTGAGAAAACCTCAGAAAAGAAATTTGTGTAATCAGGAAGACCCCACATTTTATTACATTGCTTTTACTAGAGAGTTATGAGCGCTTCCTTTCCTTTAGTTAAAATTATTTATAAATTGTAATATTATTTATAAGATTTAGATAATATATTATTTATAAATAATTATAAAACATAAATAATTTATTTAGAATTGTTGTCCACTCATACCCATTATCAGATGTGTGCTCCCACTTTATTAACTTTATCTGATGACTGACAACGACTGACATCATCCAATCTGTAAATTTATCCACTATTAATATCTTATGATCCTGCAACAACAATAAGGAATAAAACAGAAGAGGATGATATATTTATGGAATTCATCCTATCTGCTATGCTATAATAAACTTTCTGGGTAGCGACTGCTCAGAAGTGAACATCTTTTCTTTGAATATGAGCTTCAACGGTAGCCTCAATCTTCTGGGGAGCCTATTTGATGAAATGGTTAAAAGTGCTAGATTAGAAGCTTGGGAGACTGTGAATTCTAGTCCTGCCATAGGCATGGAAGCAAACTGTCTGCCTTTGGCCAGTCACACGATCTCAGCCCTAGAGAGAAGGTACCCACAAGCCACTTCTGTAAATGTTTCCAAGAAAACCACATGGACTTGTTCCTGCAATTAAAGTTGACATGATGGTCCAAAACAAAAACAAATTCTGTTTATAGTTCATTTCTTCCATACAGCTCCCTGTCAGAGTGGCAGGCATTTCCTGTAATCTTGCTTTCCTAAATAACTTTCCACTAATAATCCCAAT